TTCTGACAGCCTGCTCCAAACAAGAGAGCTGATCTGTCTGGTGTGCGGTTGCACTAGTGGTGGAAAAATGTCTGAATTGGGACTGGTTACCTCCATAATCTTGTCAGCCATAGTGGCCAAGGTATGGAATTTGTCTTGATTGATCACTAAAACTGAACGCACATTGTTAGGCAACCTCTGTAGAAAGAGCATCCTAAGGAATTTGTCCATTACTTGCATACTGGCCAGTGCCTGCATTTCTCAGTAGTGCTGAGGGCTTTTTGTCTCCCCGTTCAATTTCTAGGAGTAATTTTTTTGCTTTCCTACTTTTGGATTCTTCGAATTCATTGATTAATCATGTTTTTAAGTCTGTGTAGGGTATGCTTGTTAACAGTTGGGGTATTAAATTGGTGACCAATTTGGCTATTTCAGTCAAGCAATCCCGGTACATGATGGTATTTCATAACCTCTGTTGTGATATTGGAGACAGCAAATTGTGATTCCACCTGTGTAAACCATATTTTAGTGTTCTTTCTCCAAAAGAGTGGAATTTTCACTGATACTCGTGCTACCTCAATGGGATCTTTGCTCTTGATCATGGTGGAAATGTATAATTAATAAAAATACTCGCAGAATTGAATAAATAAGTTCTTGTGGTCACCACTTTGGATTCTTGACCAATAAACACAGATCTTAAAAGGTAAACTAAATTTATTTTGAGCTCGAGTACAAAGACAGTCACCAGTACCACATACGTGGACAGAATGACTCTAGAGCAGGGATGTCCAACCTTTTTGTTTCTCTGGGCTACATTGGAAGAAGTCGTGGAGTTTTGGGCCACAAGTATATAATATATACTTGTTATATATTTAAGGATTAACATTTCTACATTATAGTAAGAAGTATTAAAACTTTATCACAAAAAAGGATATTTTAAAAAATTACTTCTACGGACACTTTCAATTTTTACTTAGAAATAGTTAAATTCATTTATTATAAAGGAGACAAACAAAATTTTATTTGTAAAACACAAATATTTGTTTTATTTGGGTCTCTAAATTAAAAAAAAGCGATGAAACACCATTTTAAAGTGCAGTTTTATTCAACTAATATATTTATAAATAATATATAGCTCAAAAAGTAGCCAATGTGCCAAATGATATTTTTTAACACCAAACTAAAAAAAGGGTAGCCAAATCTTGCAATGCTGGAAGGAATACTAAATAAAGCTGGAGTTGGGACTCAAAGGATTATAGACCTAATGCAGAGAAAGGAGAGCATGGACAAAAGATTAAGAAGTGAGAAACATTGGAAAATTAAGGGTCAATATTTGCTTAACAGAAAGTCTATTTGACCTTTCTCACTACTTTTTATCTTTTTCGTATTTTATTTTGACCCAGTTCTCGGTCCCCTGACTACCTATAAGTTTGATTTATTTTATATGCGCATGATTTGAGCACCAAATACTCTGTGGCAAATTGCAACTCCTGACATGTACTTTTTCATATGGGGGTAGTCCCAGAAGTACCCAACCTAACAAAGAAGACACAAAAAATTTAGAAAAACATATCTTTATTTCTCAACATAGTCTCCTTTTATCTCGATACACTTTTCCCAGCGATGTTCAATAGCTTCGATACCCTGCTTATAGTGAAAACCGTTGAGTTTCTCAAAATAGCCATCAACCGCAGACTCCACCTCTTCATTGTTGGCAAATCTTTTACCACCAAGCCATTTTTCAAGTTTGAAAAGAAAAAATAATTCGAGGGGGCTAAATCTGGCGAATAGGGTTCATGAGGAAGCAGTTCAAACCTTAACTCATTGATTTTAGTCACCACAGTAACAGATGTATGAACTGATACCTCATAAGAAACTCCTTCCCTGCCCCGCCTATTGGCACTACAGGGTTAAAGTGACTATGCCTTGTTCATTGGTTGGTCGGATTCCTGACATTTTAGACAGGGACAACGTAGCTGGGCCACATGGTACATCTTTCGGGCTCCCATCTGCACCCCAGCCCAGCTCTCTAACTTGGCATAACTTTTATATTGTGCAGCCTGTTCTGCACTTGGTCCACAATACTAAACCTTCAGCTCACTTTGCTCAACAAATATTATAATGGACAGCGGGGTCCCCTTCCCTACAAGAAGAGGGGGCCCGGCCTAGCACGTCCACTAGGCTTATAGATCAAAAAGATTATGATTTTTCCCATCAGTTCCTTTAGTTTCTTTAAGTTTTCTTTACTAGCTGCTAGCGTTCAAAGTACTTGTTCAGGGGGCTTAGTCCAGTCAACTTGGTCAGCCCCTAGGCGGAAGTCCTCAGTTAGAGGACAGTCAAGTACGTAGTGTCTTGCGTCGCTGTGAGAACACCTACAGGAGCAGCTACCATCTCCTTGTCCGAACTTGGACTTGAAGTGGGGAAACCTCCTGTATCAGGTTAGAATTTGTGTCGTCAACCAACAACAACTTATCGGAGTGAGGCCAACTACAGGCACGAAGGCGTGGGTCGACCTACCTACTGTACTTTGAGTCCAGTGCTCTCGCCAGTGTGTCATTGATCTTTGCAGTAGAGTACCTTTTATGTATGTTACCGAGGGTTCTACTGTCCTCGTAACAAATGGGCCGCTGGCTCCCGCCTTTGCCAGCTGATCAGCACGTTCATTGTCTGGGATCCCGGTGTGGCCTTGGATCCACCACAAGATAACGTGTTGTTTGTGCCTCACCCTCAGTACCCTACCTCTGATCTCCTGTACCAACAGATTGCAATGGTACCCGTCACTCAAGGCCTGTAGCGATGACTGGCTGTCTGAGTATACCGTGACCAGCTCTGGACCTGGGTGTGATAGGATCCACCAGGATGCCCCCTCCAGGGCCACCAGTTCCACCTGGAACATGGACGCTTCCTCATTCAATTTGACTGATTGACAGTACACTTCTACTCCATCAGAGAAGACATAGTATGGAGCACCTACTAAGCTACTGTCCTTTGAGCCATCAGTGTATATTTCAACACCGGTACCTGTCGGTTCACCGACATCCCAATCGAGTCCTATCCTATAGGCAGGATGGATCTTTAGTATGTCTGTTTGACACCTAAGTTTGATTGGGTACTTCCGATTACAATGCATAGCCTCTATACCTTCCACTGTTGTCCTGTAGAAGGCTGCCTCTTGGCTGACTACCAGAGGCAAGAGGAGCAGCCCGGCCAGGACCAGGGCTGCGTCCGTGGACATAGTTCTGTATGCTCTTGTGATCCACAGGGTGGCAGGCCGCTGGATCATGAGCAACGTCTTGCTTTGACTGACATTGGCAGAATCCTTCCACCATATACCACAGGCATAGCAGATAACGCATTATACACTCATCTTGTAGATGGATCGAATTGCTTCTCTTCTAAGGCCATAGTCTTACCTAGCTAGTCTCGATAGTGCTGCTATCGGCTGGTTTGTTCTGACACGAACACTCCTTAGATGGGGCATCCAGCATAATGTCTGGTCGATGATTACACCGAGGTACTTTAACTCGTTCACCCTTCAGATAGGCTTACCCCGGATCTGGTATATTGGTTGGCATGCCAACACTCCGGTCCGGGCCACCGTTAAGGCCTCTGATCTCTCAGGTCTGAAGGAGAGCTTGTGCAGTTTCCCCCAGTGAACAAGCTGTTCTATTGCTTCATTTCTGCGACTCTCCATGTCACATCTGCTATATCCTGCAACTACTAACAACGTATGAACTGGTACATTGTCTCAATGAAACAACACTCTCTTTTTTGCCAAATGCAACCGTTTTTTCTTGATTTCATCACTCAAGTGCTGCAATAAGTTTGCATAATACTTGCCATTGATTATTTTTCCTTTTTGAAGATAATCAATGAAAATTATCCCATGTGCATCCCAAAAAACTGACACCATGACCTTGCCAATAGATGAACTGTCTTCGCCTTCTTGGGAGCTGATTCTCCCCTTTCAGTCCATTGTTTTGACTGTTCTTTCGTCTCAGGTGTAAAGTGGTGGATCCATGTTTTATCCATGGTTATGAATCGACACAAAAACTCGGTTTTATTGTTGTGAAATATCACAAACACTCGATTGAAACATCCTCACAATGTTGTTTTTGTTCCATTATAAGCAAATGCAGCACCCATCTTGTGCATAGCTTTCTCATGTCCAAATTTTTAATCAAAATACGATTACAGAACTTTTTGAAATGCCTACCATGTCTGATAGATCTCGCACTTTGAGTTGCCAGTCATCCAATACTATTTTGTGGATTTTCTTCACCATTTCTGGTGTGATCACCTCATTTGGTCGACCACTGCAATGTTCGTCTTGGCAGCTCGTATGGCCTTGTTTAAACTCTGCCATCCAATATTTTTTTGTTGTAAACAAGGGAGCAGACTCCCCCAGGGTAGAATCTAGCTCAGCTTTGATATTGATTGGACTGAGACCTTTCAAATAAAAATATTGTATCACATAATGATGACCAATTTTTTACATGTTTACAAATTCACTGAGGTCGTTCACTATTGATTGCTGTCAAACAAATACTAAACAATGTAGCATCTCCAAACTTCAAATTTAAGCATTATAAGGTTGGTAAACATGCCAAATTTCACTTTGCTGTAAATTATCTCCAGTTAAATAGATTGACATCAGGTTTCATTGTAATTGGAGAGGCAAGTGTTATCTTTTAATTTATGATTGGAAAAGTTCATTTATAGTAATCCCTCCATTTACGCAGTTTTCATTTATGCACTGTCTTCATGGAACCAATTACTTGCATAAATGAAGGGATTACTGTACTGATTTTAGTTGTTGTTAGTCCAGGGTTTGTAAATGAAGGACTGACTGCATATAGAAAATTTATTTTATTGATTGGTGAAATGCAAGCACAATATTTTATTGATTTATATTTTAAACGTATAGAAATACATGCTATTTGATATTTTAGTGTTATGTTAAGTGTTCTGATTAACTGTACATTTATCAGATTGTAAAAGCAAACCATATTTATAATTTTTAGGCAGTTACACAAGGAAATAATGGCCTGATAAAAAACAATTTTGGAATGGAAAAGTCAGCATTTTCAATGGGAAATCAGCAATGCAATGTTACGAGTGGTCTCAATAAACAGCAACAATTGGTAAATTGTATTTAAATATTTTAATTATTATTATTTGTACTGTAAATTGATAAGGATTTATGAATTGTCATATAAAGAAATAAATCAAATAATATAATAATACTTTAAATCATTTTAAATATTTAAAATAAATCACACCATTTACACTTCTCCCAGCAGCAGCATGTTAATATAGAAATGTTTTTGGCCACAGTTAGGTGGCCTGCATCAGGTTTTAATAATAACCAAATCAAATGTTTATAATAAAATAAATATTAAAGTGTTGTTGCTGGAAAAAGTGTGAATGGTGTGATTTTTTTTATACATAAGTTTCAGCTTACTTATTGGAAGAGAGTTTTTTTTTTCTAGAAATCTTTCTGCCTAATCTTCAGCAGTAGGAAAGCTTTTCTAATTACTATTTTTTCATTCTATAAATTAAGCTTCTTATCAATTTAATTATGGTAAAGACCAACAAAAAAATTAAGATGCTGCATTTAAAAAGTCATTATGCAAAAATATTTACAAGATATAATCAAACTGTAGTAAATTTTCACATAAAAGTTTGCATTTGGTTATAATTAGTTAGAGAAATTTATTTAATATTTGTTTTTTTTTTCCTATTAATATCACATGAACTAATTTACAATATTAAACTGCACATACTGTATGCAATTTCACTTACACTTGCCAACAACATTGCAAGTCGGGCCCACCTGGACTGCTCAAAATTATGACTTGATATTATAGTCATAATATAGTGATGCCTTGTGTCAACTGATCAGTCAGAGTCAGTCATAAGTAGCTATCAGAATTACAATCTAAACTGACTGTAATTCTGATAGCTGAGGATTTTTCTCTGGGTCCACATTACTAACAGAAAATAAAATCTTTTAAGGCTGTTCTTTTATTAATAAATGAAACATTCTTCATATTTCATTTGTTCAGTAGACTAAAGGAGCCTGCTCTGTTTCTGTGCCCCATACAAGCTCTCAACAGCCCTGCCGATTATTTCCGTTCCTGTTAGCACTAAAATTTAAAATAACATTTAAATTTTATTTTAAATTGATTTTAAGCTTCAACTAAAGTTTTTTCTTTTTTTTAAATAAAACAAACTAAGAACTTTCTTACACTTTGAAAAAACATTTCAAAGAAGTTAAAAAAAAATCTTATGAGTGTTTCACATAACTTTATACATTCTGTATTATTAAGTGCCACATATTCTATTAACATACTGAGATGCATAGTAATGCAGAAGATACAAATAATAATGATTATTATTGAGTAATTATTCAAGCAAATATGTGATGTGGATATCTGAAAATTGTAGTTAAACTACTGTTTATGTTACTAGTACTGTATATAATGTAGTTAAGGTTTACATTTAGAATCAAAGATCATCATGTCAGTAATGCAATTCTGTGCTGTAGCATTCTTTATAAATGCTTTATAAAATAATAATGGAAGTTACATTCTACTAATGATTCACATATTATTTCATTCACTATCAGTTACATTATATAAACGTAGTATTCTAATAGCATTGTATTGCTGCAGATAGATTTTAAGCACTTATTTTATAAGATGATATGCATTTAGAATATAAGTGAAATAGCTTATCACTGACAAAATATTGATTTTAAAGTGTTATATACTATAACAACTTTTTTGTTTAATTTTTTAAAGGTATTTCAAGTTATTTCATCAGATCAAAGCATGGAAGGTGTAAGTTATGACCAACTGTATGCATCTTTACAAACATTAAGTAAACAAGTAATCAGGTAAGAACAAAATTATTTAAAATTTCTATGTAATTAGTTGTAAAAACTTTTTATAAAAGTGTATTTTAACGCTAAATATCGTTAAGTTGGTGCAGTTAAAAGAATAATAGAACCCATAGTTTGTCATCAAACCTCTAATGAAAAGTGGCCTGATTGATACAAGAGATATATTTTATTAAATAAAAGTTTCTAACAGTGTGTATATACCAAGGATGGCCAACACGTAAACCCCGGTCGATCGCAAAGATTTTGAAAGTAGCCTGCAAAGCTAAAGTTGAACAATTTGCTTTCACTTAAATTAATGTTTAAAAATCTTAATTTGATAATTTATTCTTAACATTAATAGACTGTCTGTGCAACGTACCCATACTGTTTGTATTTATCCCGATGAACAATGCAAATGAATGTTAACGCATGCGCATATAAAAATCCTAAAATTGTTTGTCCATATTCATAGTTGCCCGCAGACTACATGTTACCAAAAAAGTAGCCCCTAAAGGATAAAAGTTTGGCCACACCTTGTATATACACACAATAAAATATCTTTTTTTTTCTTCATTGGCACTAAAAGTGCCTGTCTTGTGCTCGTTTTGAGTTTGGCCGGGGTTGCAGTCGAATAGCCAGGTGGCAAATGGAGCGTGATGTATTTGAGTCAGACCGTCATGAAAATTAAGGATCTTGTTTGGTTTGAATCTTTGAGAGATGCACATACCATCTTTCTCAACTGTCTTTACACCTCTTACCATCAATTAATGTTTTAACAGTATTTATCATAACTTAAGCTGTTGGTTTTGTAATTGCACCGTTTTATATGAGATAATTTAATTATTATTATTATTTTTTCTGTTTATTTTAGAGATGCTGTGGATTTTCTCAGTAACGAAGGTCACATTTATTCAACAATTGACGACGACCATTTTAAATCAACAGATAGCGGTTAATTAAATATAACTAAAAATAAATTTGAGTTTGTAAAAAGAGTTAAATATTTTTTTAAAATGTGTTCAGAAAAACTGAATAATACTTATTATTATTCAACAATAGTTGAATTGTTGTTGTTAGCATGTCATAATGTATTATATAACTTGCACAATACTTTACGTTTTGTATTCATATATACATAAATATATTTGTGTAATAACCATTAATAATAAATATATTTTGATTAAAAATTTTCATTTAACAGCTGTTGTTGTTATCTTTTCAAAGTTTAGAGTAAAAGTTAAAATAATTTTCACTATTACTTAAATCACCATAAATCTCGTTACTGGCGAGAGGAATTTATATTAAGTCAGGCTCTCTCAGCAGAGTCATATGGCTCAGACAACTCATTTATGGGATCTCAAAAGCATTTAGAAATATAATTATTCTGTAAAATTTCTAGTGTATTAAGAAAAAAAAACCCTTTTATTTTTTTAATTATATTTTTACTATATTTGAGATACCTAAAGGTAATGGAATGGAATGCGATAATGATAATTTCATTGACCTTTGGATACTATTACATAATTCAATTCACCTTATCTCTATCAGTTATTCATTTTTAACAGTTGAAATGATTCATTTTAAATTACAATTCTAGAAGCACCCAAGTTAATCTTATAATCATTGATTTTTCTGTAACATATAATAGTTTACATTTTAACAAGGCATCACAGACCAGCTTGTGAGGTACTAAATTTGCTACTACAACATGTTCAATTAAATTTAATAATAATCGTGACTGTTTTTGACTACTGCAAGTTTAAGTAGTCAAAAACAGTCACGATTATTATTAATAGTTTACATTTAATATTATAGTCTAAAGTTGAATTTTAACAATCATTCTCCTTCTCTAATAATTAAATCAATATATTTTAATTGTGTAGAAATTTAAAACTGCATAATAAATGAGTAGATATGATGCAAAACTCCTTTACATTATTTCAACTTAATTACATCTCTGCTAGATTTGTGAATGTTTAGAATCAAGATTGTGAAAGAACATAATTATATACAAGAAAATAAATTTTATTTTCATGTTTTTAAGATAATGACAGTAATTTTTTTTTATATGTAATTTATATTTACAAAATTGTAGATTAGAAAATAATCTACAATTGCTAGAATGGAATAAATTCATTCATATATTGAATCGTCTCTTCGGTGGTGCCACTATCCTGATGCGTGTCGCGTACCTGATGATCAGCTGGTTGTAGAAGGAGCGAGTAGCAGAACGGAGAACAAAATGGCGGTAGCTATCGATGGCATGTTTGATAAAGCTTATTTACCGAAACAGGAACCAAAGGTAAAGTCACATGTTCCTTCTATGGAAATCTATCGCAAGTTATACAAGGAAGCGGATGAGAATCCTGACCAATTTTGGGGTTCCTTGGTTAAAGAATTCTATTGGAAAAAGTATCCCACCGCTCAATTCTTGAAGTATAATTTCGATGTAAGTAAAGGACCGATTCAAATCAAGTGGATGGAAGATGCGAGTACCAATATCTGCTACAATGCACTGGATAAGAATATACAAAAGGGTTTGGGAAATTCGATAGCATTTTACTGGTAATTTTTTAAAGTAATTTTTAAAATAAAAATTCTTCTAGAACTAAGATTTAATTAAATTATATATATATATACATTTATTTATTAACACTTCTTTGCGTAAGTGTGTATAATTCACGCATCGATTGTATCAATTTACATGTTTCTCCCCTCTAGAAAAAAATTTTTTTCTCTTATTTTTTTAAATGTTGAGGACTGGAAAAAGTTAAAAAGACAATTTATTAAATTTTCAAAAAATAATTAAGATAATTTCGAAAGTATTTTAACTATCCTAATATTAAAATTCTTCTTGGGAAAATCCACACTTGATAAAATGACGTCATTACGAAGGGGGTGAACTAATAGGGGAAAAAATGTTATCACGTGATGTCGATCTCACCCCGCTTTATTGTTATTACTTCGTTATTGGATTTTAATGCCTTAATAGGATTCTGCTGGCTGTAAATTTGCTTCACCCCAAAATTCCTCTTTATATTAATATATATATAAATGCTGTAGACACTTTAAAATTCGATAATAAAGACGATTCTAATTAATAAATCGTTGTTTTAAGGTAGATAAAATAGTTAAAAATCATAAACGAATCGCTAAATCGGGGTTGGTGAACGTAACGCCGCGAAACATTGTTTTCCTTCCCAACTTATTGGTGTTTTTTCCCCTTCTCCCCCTTCAGTTAACAGAATCAGATTGATCCTTAAAAATTTAGATTAATGGTTTTCGAGGATTATGAAACGAATTCGGAGTAGGATCGAAGGATCAAGTTGAAAAGATCGATCGTGGATGGCAGGTGCTACACTTTCTGAATACAAACAGGACACGTTTCATGGTTCTGACAATAAGCAATCTGTGTCGAAGATAGGTTTTTAAAGATCGATAAAATCTTTTAAAGGGGAGATATTCACTACTTCATTTGTTAGCACTACATTTCATAAATAAATTAAACACGTAAAACAGTTTTCACGTGTTGCAGATGGAATATTTAATCTTGTCGCTTTCAATGGGCTTTCTAGGGATCTATTTTTGCCATTAATAATTAAAATGATTTCGAATAACTGTTTAAAAAAAAAAAAACAGGTCTATATTCTGAAGAATTAGAAGAAATTTCGGGAGTTTTATTTATTTTATTTTTAAGGTTTCTCCCTCTTCCTGACTAGTGTTATCTGCATTTTAAATATTGGTAACATCTACTACTATAGTAAATCTACAGTCACAAATTCGTTATCACTTGCATTAGGGGGGTCTGGTGATGTTTAAATGTACAATTAAATGTTAATTAACACGTAATCGCTTGAAAATTAATTTAAAAAGTTGGGAATTTTACTAAAAATGTCGTGTTTTACGACGTTTGAACTAATAGAAACATATTAATCTTTATTTTCAGTTGGTTTTAAACGTTGGAAACTACCGAATATCGAAAATAAAGACAATAGAAACGGCAAACTACAGGAATAAAAAAAATAGAATGAGGTCACAATACTGTGAGTCCACGTCATCTGGTTTCTTTCTCATGAAGGGAGTAGCTATAGATCGTACGGCAAACACCTTATTTCTGACAACACCTACTCCGTGATCTATTGCATATCCTATCTAAACAGGTTACAACCTTCTAATCAGCATTTATATAATACTACCAGGCTAACAATAACGTTAAATAAAACGTAATTATATTCAAAAATCCCCTCGATATAGCGCAACCATTCATTAAATATAATAAGACTAATCTAGAGTAATTGCGAATTAAAACCGAAAGTTGGTAATAATTTATGTATGAGCTCGACCTTCTATTGGTTAGGTGTAACCAATCGTTACAGTATCGACGTCCAATCATGGCGGATAAAGTCTCCTACATCCTCTCCACTCTGACAACCTCCCAATCGAAATCTACTCTTTTTGGATTTTGTCTTTAACTTGAACTTTGATATTCGTTTATTTCCTTTTAAAATACCTTATTTTTTCCCCTTAACTTCTCTCCTTAAATTAATAAGAGTGAGAGGGTTGTCTTATTTGACGTCACGTCGTAAATCTAGATTTATTCTAGTTATAATAATTTTAACGATTTTATATATTAAATTTATCGATTTATAGCTTAGATATTTAATGATTAGGGTGGGTGCTAGCTTATATCTGGTGTTGAGTTATTATAGGAAGCTTTAACGTTGGGTTATTTACTATACCTGCATCAAGGATGTTGAACGAAAATGGTTTTAACAGCAACATACATTGTATGGAGTCAAGTTTAGAGGATGTAAAATGCTTATAAATCATTTCTACGATCAATTTAGATGTGTCCAACTTCCAAAACTATAGATTAACTTGTAAAAATTCTAACGTACCTTTACGAAAAATTATTTATTATACCTTTATCTTACGTCGAATTTATAGAAGAAGATAAATAAATAAATAAAATAATATAAAATTTATAAAAAGTAAACGATAAAAAAAACACACTTTTTTTTACTTTTGATTCATCGAAAAATATTTAAAATAAACTTGATTATTTAAATTATCGATCTTAAATCTATTCTTGGATCATAAACCTATATATATTTTAATGTTTTAATAAAGAAAATAATATATTTAATATTGATTTTATTTTGTAAAAAATGACAATAATTTTGTTAAATTTTTATGCTTTTTTTTATATTTATCTTCTTCATCTTCTTCTTCATCTTTATCTTCTTCCTCTCAATGCATCTATTGTTATGATGCTGTGATGATGCGGGCTTCTACTAGAAGCTATTGTTATTAAACCATTAAAATTTTACTTAGTTTGATCTTGAATAATACAAATATTTAAAATATTAAACAAAATTCCATCTGAAACTATTATTTAAATATATAGGAAGAACTTTCTTACACTTTGAAAAANTAGAAGGGGGAAAAATGACTGTTTATAATTAAAATATACTCTAAACGAAAAATTAACTATTTAAAAATGTTTAAATTGCTAAAAATTAATCAAATGATAATTAAATTATTATAATTTTTTTATTTATTTTTGTAAAAAAGAATCCTTTGAAAGTAAAGTTTTCCTTCCAAAGTTTACCTCATTAAAGTAACTTTTATAACTAAATTATGGATAATTAAAGCAATTTAATAGAAAAAATATATAATATATTTAATAGTAATGAAGTAAAATATTAGATAAAATTTTAAAATAAATTTGGAAAGGAAGAAAAGAGCGAAAAGAATGAAGTGAGAAGTTTATAATTAGGATTTCTACAGGAAAAAATTGTGAAAATATTAAAGTATTTTTGTTTATTTATAAAAAAAATATATATATATATTTAAGAATTAAATAATAACTTTTAAAATAATTTTTAATACCGAAATCGTAAGCAATTCTATAGATTATATCCCAAACACCTGATAACATTCCTCCCTCGTAGAGCGTAAGAGACGTTGAAAATACACAAGATTTTTTTTATATTTAATAATAAAAAACACACTTAAAAACTATAAAATCTAATTAAAAATTTAATTCTAATTATATTTTAGGGAAGGAAATGACCCTAAAGACGTCATAACAGTAACTTATAAGAAATTGCACGAAGAGGTTTGTAAATTCGCGAACGTCTTAAGAAAAAAAGGTATTTAAATAAAGATTTTTCTTAAATACAATAAAATTTTAAATAGTTTAAATAATAAATTAAATTAATTTGAATATTTTTAGGTGTTAAAAAAGGCGATCGTATCGCAATTTATATGCCTATGATACTAGAATTGCCTATAGCCTTATTAGCTTGCGCTCGAATTGGAGCTGTACATTCTGTAGTTGTGAGTAATTAATAATTATTATAATTTATAAAGTAATTTATAAGCTAAATATATATATATTTTGTTTCAGTTTGGTGGTTATTCGAGCGAATCTCTAGCTGAAAGAATCCTTGATGCCTCCTGCTTAATGTTAATAACAGCGGGTGATTTAACTATGATAAAATAATTTATTAATTATAATTAAATTGGTTTATAATAATCAATTATTTCTTTAATTGTAATATTTAATAAATAAAAGTGATTTAATGGCGACGCGAAGCGGTGCGACTGGAAGCGATGCGACGCGTAGCTTACAATAATAATAGTTTAATTGTATTTTTATGAAATTAAATGTAGTTTATAATAAATAAAATAATTTAATATAAAAATTTACGCGATTATCTATTAAAAAATTACAGTTTTTAACACATTTAATTTAGTAAAAATACAATTAAACTTAATTATTATAATCTAAGCGTCACGACGCGACGTCGGTTATAAGTATGTTAAATTTAAAGCTTTTTTTTATAATTTTAAATAATTCTAATTTAAATTTATTTATATTTAAATATTTTATAAACATTTCTCGTATGTTTTTTTATTATTAGATGGTGTTTATCGAGGCGCAAAATTAATTAATTTGAAAGGAATCGCGGATGAAGCGGTTAGCATATGCAAAGAAAGGTTAATAATTTTTAAATTAATTAATAAATTATAAAATTAATAAATTAAATAATTAATTAATTATCATGTATTTTAGGGGGCATAAATTAAAATCGTGTATCGTCGTTTTTTATTTAAATAAACCGAACAAAAGTATAAAATCTGTGAAAGAAGCGGATGTTGATAAATTATCTGATCAGTTGGCTAAGGAATTAAAAGTAAATTTAAAAAGAAATTTCTTCTTTAAAATATTAATAGTTTATATTTTAATTTTTTAAAAATGATTTTCTTATTATTTAAATTAAAATTAGTTATCTTGGAGATGCGGAGAAGAGACGTGTTGGCAATATGAAATGGCCAGTGTTGGTAATATATGTGAGCCAGAATGGATGAATGCTGAAGATCCTTTGTTTATCTTATATACAAGGTAAAAAAATTAATAATTTTTAGACATTTTAAGCCATAAATATGCTTTAAATTTTTTAATTAATATAAATTTCACCACCGAATCCTTCAATTAAGTAAAAACAAATGGTACTGGAGGCAAAGATCTGGAATTATTTCATTCTTAAATATAGTTTAGAACAGTTTTTCAGGGTCTAAACTTTGTCATTTGACTTATTTCGTGAGTATTAATTAATAATATGCACCGTAAAATAAAAAAATAAAGTGATACTTGGGGTGCTTAACCCAAATCTAAGCTACAGTTCACTTGTTCCTATTTATAGTTACAAGATGCTCTCGATTTTACTGTAGATTATATATAATTATTTCAAGTACTAGAGATGATAGAGGTTAGATGAGGCCCGATTTATACAAATGTATGGCCCTACTCCTATAGGATTGGATTGATGGAATAAGGGACCCCTATTTAGGTGTTAAGAAAAGGTTGGCCATCGCAATTGACATTCGTATCTCCTGCTTTTAACCTTAATGATTTGAAAGAGAATATTTCATTAATTTTGTGTCGTACGTTGCGAAAATGATCTTAAAACTTAAATTTCTGTAAAAGATGTGCAAAAATGTTTTGCAAATTCGATTCTTTTGGCATAAATTATAAAGGTTAACGAATAAATATATGCGTGTATTGACTGTAGGCGTGTGTATTTTATTTTGTGTGTATGAATGCTAAGATTTTATCTCGTTGATCTTTGTTCCTTATAAAAAGCATATTACGTCTTTAGAAAGATTTTTCATATAGGCCTAAACATTCCTAAACATCTTATATTTTATCACCTTATAGGTTCTTCTCTTTTTCCTAATTCTTCTCCTTCTTTTTTCCTTTCCTCTTCATCTTCCTCTTCTTCCTCCTTGTTCTTCTCTTCCTTCTCCTCTTTCCGTTTCCACCTAACCATCCTTCTCCTCCTTGCTCTTCTTCTTCACTGTCTTCTCCTTCTTCTCATTCTTCTCTTTCTCTTCTTCCACTTTCTTCTTCTTCTCTTTTTCTCCCTCTCTTTTCTCCTTCATTTTCTCTTCTTATCTTTTCCCCTCTCCTCCTTTTCTTCCTTGTTTTTATATAAATCATAATCCTATCCTTTTGAATAATGCTAATAGTTATTAATAGAAACATTTTTCAAGATACAAAATAAACTTGAAGAGGTCTCTCACCTTTTATTGAAGATAATCGAACAAATGTGATAAAACAGTCATTACAAAGTTCATAGAAAAGAAAACGAACAGAAATTGGCCCGAAATCGATCTCGGACTCTCCTGGCGATAAGTCGAAATGAACAGAATACCCCTTGGGAACCATTAATCTTACTAACACAAATCATTGGAATTGGTTAAGTCATTATATCTATTCAATGTATCTTTTAACCTTAAATTGGCACTGGTTTTATGAAGCAATTTTCATCAATTGAGACTTCTAAGGAAGAGTAAATGCTTGTTTACAATATTATCTTACTTCTAAAGGAATGAATTGGATTCATTTTAGACGTTTAATAGCTTTATAAAAGCAGCTTGATCCAATTTATCCATCCTAAAATCAATACAGGCATCTCAGAATCGAGTTTATCAACACAACTTCATCATCATCATCATGATGAAGGCTTTATATTGTAGATAACTAGTGTTTACGGAACGAAAACAGACAGACAGTCAAATGTTTTTGTGGCCCGCTTAAATTTGATGTTTGGACTAAATGCTCCTGATGTTCCTCCTATGAAAGGACCTCCTATCATAGCTTATTTTGAAGGCCCTTCTTTACGTAACAGGGTGTAATGGCTCCTATATGAAAGAGGTCTATCGTAGGTGTATGGATAGGTATTTTAACCTTTAGTTTTATCTTATAATATTTGATAAAGAGAATTGTATTTTAATCGAAATGAATTACTCAGTTGTTTAGGAAAAAAAGCTAGTTGTATTGATCAAAGTTCTTGTTATTTGTCTTATATAAAAAGTACATACAAATATCCAATTATTTAATTAATTAACCTAATATCTAATTAATTAAATAATTAAATACAATTAGGGGAAAAAGTGCCATTGATTGAAACCATTAACAACGTAAAAAGTCATTTTGCTCAATTGATTACGATTAAATGTTTCTCAAAATAGTAAAAAAAACACGATATTTATTTATTTATTACAGATAATTTCATAATGAAATAAGATTTTAATTAATTAATAAAATAAAATATATGCAAATAATTGTGTTTATTAATTATAATTTATATTTATTTACTTACTTGTGTGTTTTTTTTCTTTCTTATTTAGTGGCTCTACGGGTAAACCAAAGGGGATATTGCATACCGTTGCGGGTTATATGCTATATGCAGCAACAACTTTTAAATATGTTTTTGATTATCAACCTGGGAATGTATACTTTTGTACCGCAGACATTGGTTGGATAACAGGTCATACTTACGGTGTTTATGGACCGCTACTTAATGGAGCCATATCAGTGATGGTAAATAATTGAGCTTAAAGTCTAATCTAATCTTAGTTTTTTCAGTATTTTCATTCGTGGCACTCATTTACTTGGATAGGATCCATAATTTTAACATAGGCAAAAATACCCTTTTTTTTTCCTTCAATAATACTCTCTACCATCTCTGGCTAGGGCCGGATTTAAACTCGTTGCAACCCTAAACTGTAACATACAAGAGGCCCTTCCTCCTGCACCAAATAACTTAAATTTAAAAGCGTGAGGTTTCTAAATTATAGGGCCTTGGTTTATTTAGCTGACGTATGAATCTAACATTTTCACACGTTCACTTTTCTCTTTGTATTTCTCTATTTCTAATCTTCTCTTCTTACGATTCACGTTGCACTCCTCAGGAATGTCGTATTTTTTCCTTCAATGCAGACGTTTAAATTTAAAAAATTTAAGGAAATTAATTATAAAATTTCCTTGATTTCAGTTTGAAGGCATTCCATTTTATCCGCATCCTGGAAGATTTTGGGAAATCATCGATAAATATAATGTAAATATATTTTATACAGCTCCCACTGCTATAAGAGCTCTCATAAAATACGGAGACGAAGAAGTTAACAAGTAATTTAAATATATATTTTATAAATATATGATTTATATTATAGTATTTTATATAAATAATTATAATTATAAATTTCAGATATAAATGTTCTAGTTTAAAAATATTAGGAAGTGTTGGGGAACCGATTAATCCTGAAGCTTGGTTATGGTATTATAATGTTGTTGGAAAGAAAAATTGTTCTGTAGTCGATACCTTCTGGCAAACCGAAACTGTAAGTATATAGTGTCTTCTATTAAGACTTTTAGCGCCTATAAATTAATTTATATCCATAGCTTTATGTAAGATTATCAAATACAATATAATATAATATTAAGACGATACCTGGATACACTGGTTAAGAAAGGGTATAGTCTATTTCGTGGTAATCATACGTAAAGAGTGTGGCCTACCTCTTTACGATTTGGCATTGATCTGTGCATAAATACTTTTATATTTCAAAAATTTTTATTTTTCTTATATTAATCTTGGGTTAAAGGGAAAGATTAGGTTAGGTTATTGTTGTTTTGTGGCGCAAGAGCCTCGTGGGCCATGCTGCACATGTTAAGGGAAGAATACCTCCCCTATAAGCATAGGCATAGAAAGGGAGATAGATAAACACAACCTACAACGTTAATGCTTACGATTGCTTATCCTACTTATCCTATATAAGGAGAAGGGAAATCAAAAAATGATAGAAATTGTCTGTGCTTAAATATTTTCTATATTATTAAGCTTGTATAGTCATCTTCCTTCTCCTCCTCCTCATCATCATCATCTTTCCAAGGTCTGTTACAGTCTTAATTCATCTTCTTTCACTTGCAAGGATAATATTACAGAATTTCCTGATGTTGCCTTGAGTTATTCATTCATTCTGTAGGCTCTCTCTATCTCATTATTTATATATTCTATTGTATAAATATATAATATGGAGCNATTTTAAACGATTAAGTATATATATATTTTTTTATTTTTCAGTTTATTTATTTATCTAAAACTTAATTAATTATGTACCGGAGGTCCTGGCAAACCTGGCATTCCTGGTTGTCCTCTATTACCGGGATTCCCCGCTATACCGGGAGCGCCTGGAGGTCCTGGTAATCCAGAAGCTCCTGGTAATCCCGGTGGCCCTCTTTCACCCATTGCACCTCTTTCACCTGGCTACGTATAGAATAATTCATTAATTTCTATTGTAAACTTATATAATTAATGACAAATGTAGCTGATTATACCAATCCAGGGGGTCCTGTTGCTCCTGTAATGCCCTGTAAGATATAAATTATTAATTGTTAGCAATCTCTAAATATAATTAACATTCTTTTAACTTCTTGTTATAATTTTTTATAATATTACATTAAGATTTCAATCTACCACTCTGGAGGAATCCGGGGTAGCAACCTCCAGGAATTTTTTATAGATCCTGGATACGTCTGGCCCCTCCCTCACCCATCTGACCATCTCCATGGTGGGCCTGGCCAAATCCACGATAGGTATGATTTTTAAAAAAGGGGCCTTCTTAGTACCCACAAGACAGAAACAGTAAAACAAATTTGCTGGTTGCCATTTCGCTTTTCAACATGACGATTTAATTTCACTAATTAATGGTTAATTATAATTTTTAAAATATTTTGTCAATTAAATGATTAATGAAGTACCTAGCATATTAAGGCTACGTGGCTAACCACAATTACACCCATTATAGGCGAGGTCTGACCCTCAATGGGGTCACCGAGTATGAATGAGGAATAGAGAACGATGCCTCGACTTTTAAATCAATAATTTACATATAAATTATTAAATCAAAATTAATTATTATTACCTGTGGACCACGAAATCCTAAAATACTGTCATCTATTTGATATCCACTATTTACACCACTTTCTCCCTAAAAAGTTTGATTTCAAATTTACATTATGTATAGTCTCACACACAATTCTATTATTATTTAATTCAGTGAGAGGTTAATCTGTAGGTAAAAAATACTCCCAAAGCTTAAATTTTGTGTATGAATAAACTTATACAGAGAGAAGGGAGGAGGAGCAGGAAAAGATGAGGAGAAAGTTTAGCTCTGGATGGTGTTCTGACTAATTTTATCATTGATTTAACTATCTAAACTCAATACAACATGTTTAGTTTGTCGTTTAGTAAACTATTACGTCAATTTGACGTCATTCTTCCAGTTTTCTTAAGAGGAAATGTGATAATGACGTCAATTTGACGTAAAGTTTAGAGGACTTAGACTACAGTACTTTTAATTTCACCGTGGAAAAAGTTAAGATCGATTAAGATCAAATAATTTTTAATTATTATTTATATAACGCTAATGTCTTATAATCTAATTTAAGTTTTTACTCTTTTAAGAATTAGAATTACGAATTTTTTAATTATTATTTAAGGGAGGCCACGTCATAACACCTCTTCCAAGATGTACTCCAACTAAACCAGGTTCTGCTGTAAGTAGCATTACTGTATTAGCCTAATTTAATATGAAAATTCATTATGTAAAAATGATATCCCTTTATAACGAAAATATCTTTGATATAAATTCAAAATTTAGTGTGAGCAACGTCACATCTTTAACACGTCACTAAAACTGTATGGCTCAGCATATAATAAGAAAACCTGTACATATGCCAGCAACTTCTGTCTATATACTGTATTTGCAAGTATGGAATTATTAACACAATCTTCTTTGTATTCTTACGTTTCAAATCTTCGGACAGACAGGCTTATATAAATAATATTAAATGAGCTTATAAATACTTATCTAAAGAGACACCTAAGATCAATGGCAGCCCTGTTACTAACAAACACAATTCTTTCATTTGCAATAAGAACTAAGTGATGATTATATGCATAGAAAACTAAGGCCTTAAGGCCTCAGATACCTTATACCTCGTATCTACAGCGTAAGGTATCTAAGGCCTTAAGGCCTCAGATACCTTACACTGTATTGATTCATTACTCACAACCAGTACTGGTTGTGAGTAATGAATCAAGTGTAATGTGATACGAGCTCTATATTACATAAAGGACTTTTCGGAGGACTTTATACAAGAAACTGGATCCTATTTAGATGCTAGACACGTGAAGAAAATCGGGAAAACTCCACGTGGCTCAGGCGCGAACTTTTTCAAAATATATCATGCATCAATTGAAAGAGTTCGGGTTCGAATTTCTAACTTTTTAAAGCTTTGCCAAATTATACTGTATATTTAAATTCTTAATAAAGTAAATTAAGGAATTGTTTAAAACTTTTAAGAAAAATGATTAAACTTTACTTATTTATAACAGACTTTTCCCTTTTTTGGAGTTGTTCCTGCTCTGGTAGACGAAGAAGGCAAAGAGTTGGAAGGAGCGGCTGAAGGATATCTTGTTCGTATCTTTTTAAAAGCATAAATTTATTATCTATTTATTAAAAAATATTTTATATATTAAGTTTTGAGGACATTATAGCATGTTACATTATACATATACAGTGGATCCCGCTTTACCACGTTTACCTTGATCCTATTAGGTCGTAAAAGCGTATGTATGTATATAAAAGNCCTTAAAAATGATTTTACAAGCTTTTATTTTTTATATTTAAAAAATTAATAATAATAATAATAATTTTAAACCGTATTTTAAAATTTAATCCTTACTTTTGCTCCTGGTGGTCCAGGAGGTCCCATGGGCCCTATTTGTCCGATTGAACCCTAAATAAAAATAGGAAATGGCCAAATATCTTGCACATTTTTTTACACATAGAATTAAAAAAATTGTCGCGAAAGGAAGGGAAAAAAGAAATATATTTTGTTTTTTTTTGATCAAGTGAAATCACTAAAGGCACACATGATTAATGAAAATTTAGACTTTTATGCAAGAAAGCGTGGTCTGTTAATGAAAAGTCCACTTGATAAGAAGAATAATTAGTGGCAAATTTTTGCCTGTTAATCGTCTTCATCTAAGATGAAGGTCATTTAAGTTGTTTTCGCGTCATTAAGGCTTGAATAACGTCTTTGTTTTGGTTATATGTTAATTAAAATACGAATGAATTGATAGTAAAAACTATAGAATGAATTGACGGTGTGATAACTTATGTGGTGTGGTAACTTATAAAGGAATTTTATTTTATTTTTATGAAATTATCAATCTGCCTCCACTTTAAAATCGTTTAAAATATATATATATATATTGTTTTTATTGTTATGATTAATATTTATTATTATTAATAATTACAATTTGTCCTTCGGGGCCTCTTGGTCCGACATCTCCTTTTTCACCTTTGGGTCCCTAAAAACGAAATGACGTTTTTTTCTATGGTTAAAAAAAATTACTCGTTTCATTTTACGCCAAGTAATATTTTATATTACAGCGATATTTTATTTTTCCGAAACAATTTTTTATGTTAATTTTTCCTTGCAAAGTCTGCCTGACGTACCATTGCACCTTCATCTCCTTGAGGACCAGTAGATCCTGATAGTCCCTGAAAAATTTAATTAATTTTATAATTTTTTCTTTTTTTTTTAAAGATTTCTTTCCATAATTCTTCTTTTTTAATTATATTTTATGTACTTACGGGAAGTCCAGGTGGTCCTGGTGGGCCGGGAGGTCCAGGTGATCCAGCTTCGCCCTTTCCACAACATAAATCAAAGATTAAGATATTTAGATAAGAGATAATTCTGTAAAATATTTGAAATTTATTCACCTTAAAACCATCCCTTCCGGAATCGCCCGGAGGGCCTGGAGGGCCTGGAGGGCCCTGTGGACGAAATCAGCAACAAAAGAAGCTGAAATAATTACGTGACCGGTAAAACCATTCTCATTTTGCGATGTTAGCACCGCATAAGTGAGCATTTATTACTTAATTACAATTATTTACGGATGTAATTATCTTGAATTGAAAAAAATAGTAATAATTTCATATTTTGAAACATCATTTAGGTTACTTACTGGATCTCCCGCTCTTGCCACGTTTCCTGGTTTACCTGGTTCTCCCGCATCTCCCTAAAACATTTTTTTATAATAAAATATTAAATATTTAATTAATTTATTAATAAAATAACTTAAAAATAATAAAATTATATTCACTTTGTCTCCTTTAAATCCAGGGATACCGGGTTTTCCCGTCAAACCTGTCGGGCCCTGTAATATTTAAACCTAAATAGGTATAAGTTGTATATAATTTTCTATAGTATCACGAATAACTCACTGGCAATCCTATAATCCCAGGTTCTCCTCTTAAACCAGGAGCTCCTATGAATCCCTAAATACATAAAGTTAAAGACTTGTAAGAATTTAAACGAATACGGAAGAGATTACGACTTCTATATAAAACTATCACGTAGGCTAATTCTCTTTGTCCACTCACCTGTTCTCCTTTAGCTCCGGGCTCTCCTCTTTTTCCTGGTATACCTCGAGCCCCCTTAAAGTTAAAAAAAAATCATATCAGATTTATAATTTGCATACCAATAAAAACTTAAAGTGTGAATATGTTAAACTGATCACCTTCTGTCCATCCCTTCCTGATACTCCGGTTTCTCCCTTATCTCCTACTTCTCCTGCTTCTCCCTTTAAGAAAATCGTATATAAAAATTTAATAAATTTTGACAACCTTCAAAATGGCATCCCAGTAGCTAAACTTACTTTGAGGCCTCTCGCTCCCTGCTGACCTTTAGAACCTTTCTCACCCTACAAATGTACAATTTAAAATATACAATTGTAAGGTCAAAAGTCAACGATAATAATAAAAAAAAAAGTTTGTACGAATTAAAGAGGTTGTTAAATTCTCATGAATTTATTAGTCTTTTAATTACAAGATATGGTTAGTATCCTATTTAAGAGAGGATATAAAATTATAATTAAACTTCATACCCTAGCTCCTGGTGCTCCTATTGGACCGGGAGGACCTGGAGGACCCTAAATATAANTTAAAAGTTTAATAATAATAATTAGAGCATAAATATATATTTAAAAAAATATATATGATATACGCAATTTCTCTGCTCATTTGCGTAGTTGACCCACGTCCGCCATGTTTTTTGCAGTCAAGTCATAAAAAACTACTAAAAATTCATTTCCCTTATATTTTACACTAAATTTTTTTTAAATGTATTATTTTAGGTGTTTAAAAAGCCTTGGCCAGGTATGATGAGAACTATTTATGGTAGCCACGAAAGATTCGAAAGGACATACTTTACTAGGTTTCCCGGTTACTACTGTACAGGGGATGGTAATTCTTAATGTACTACTTTGATGTATGATTTTTAATTTTTGAATAACTTGTAATTAAATTTTTTTCAGGGGCTAGAAGGGATGAAGATGGATATTATTGGATTACAGGAAGAATAGATGATATGTTAAATTGTTCGGGTCATCTGCTGTCTACTGCTCAAGTTGAATCAGCATTAATTGATCACGGTGCCATTGTTGAGGCTGCTGCAGTATCATATCCTCACCATACAAAGGGAGAATGTTTGTACTGTTTTATTGTACTGAAAGAGGTTAGATTATAATAAATTAATTTATTAACTATTTTATATTTAAATTAATTTTGTTTTCATATTTTAAAACAGGAATTTAAGTTTGATTCGAATTTAGAGAAAGATTTAAAAGAAAAAGGTATGTTAAGAACTTAAGATGTGTGATGTTTTTTTTTTAATAAAATATTTATTTATTTTTCTTCTAGTTCGTTCTAAAATTGGCCCATTTGCTACTCCCGATTACTTCCACGTTGCTGGTGGTTTACCGAAAACAAGATCCGGTAAAATTATGCGCCGTTTATTAAGAAAAATTGCAAAAAATGATCGAAATCTCGGTGACATAACCTCACTTTCGGATCAAGATGTCGTCGAACAGTTATTTAAGAGTAGACCTAACATACCGATACCCACATTAGCATAGATGAATATTTACACGATGCCTATTGATGTGTAGTTAATAGATAGAAAGGAATAATAGAAAATATAAGATATTTAAATTTTAAATGTATTGTAAACTGTTAACAAAACAATGATAAAATTATATAGAGGTGTATTAAACATACCTCAGCACTTAAGTACAAGACTGCCATTGCAAGTAAAGTATATTTAAAAAAAAACTCTATTTTTTAAAACTCATTTTATGTTATAATATAAAAGAAAATTTTAGTGTTGAATGGTGTTATCAAGTATCAAGTTTTATCAGATGTTAATTCTGTATTTAAATCTAACTATATACATACGAAGCAATTACGGGTGGTACTTTAGATCAGAACAGAATTTATTGTTTTGTATAGTACCAGACACATACTTTTGAGGTTTTTTTTGTGTTTTTCACAATAAATTTATGACCGTTTCAAGTACCAAATACATCTGTTGTATAGCATATAAAACAGCGTACTGTCGACCCTCGATATAATGAACTAATAGGGGAAGTGATGGCCATTGTCTGTTGTATTCCAAAATGGTCAGTTACAAGAAGAATTTTATAAGACATGTGATAAGAGACATAAACATTCTGTATTGTGTTAAACACAAAACAAACAAACACTACACATCCAAGTATGACGTAAACAATAACTGTCAACGCGCTTACTAAGCGGCAGAAATGTAATTTAGGCGCCATTTACGAGCATCTGGTAGGGCCCAATTATCCATTTCATTGTACTTCTTGTGTACCCTCGAAAAATAATAGATAATTAGTCAGAGCCTCTTTCAATCTCTATTTTCACTTGGACAGGTCTTGGAAGGAGCAGATTTCGTTCGTTGTTTACGTGATATCGGGGTTCGTAAAATCGAGGATCAACAGTATTATGACTTGTTTCATGTATTAAGATTATGCTCTTGAATCCAAATAGCGAGCATGAATATTTTTTATTGATTTATTATTGATATTTGAAAGTTTTTATTGTTACCATTGTTGGTAAATTCGAAATTATTCTTTGTTATGTATTAAAATATGCATAATATACATACATACACATCAGCCATAAAATGTTCTTTGTTATAACATATCAAGTTGATTTATACGTATGATTTTTTTTAATTAGAAACATGTTTATACACGTTAGTAGTTTGCAGAGGAATGTGAATAATTTGTACGAATAATAACCTGTACATTATTATAAATGGATTTATGATTATAATGGCAATAAAAAGAATTATTGGTGTAATTGTGTTAATAATAAAAAATATAGTACGTAAAATAATTTATATGCATTCGTCTGTCTGTTATGCTATAGTTTGACACGTGTACTGTATTTTACATGCCAAACTGGAAATGAAAATGCAAATCTGTAATAATGTGTATTCATTAAAACAAAGGCCACACGGATATGAGTAATCCGAGTTCGAAACCAGTTCAACCTCGTAATTTATTATGAGCAGTACGGGTCAGTATATCTGTTACCCATACTGGATGACCCCATCGCTCCTTTAGCCCACCAGTGGTCGATAAAACCACTGGGCTGATACCACTAGATACCGTCGTGAGATCTCACCTCGCCAACGGACTAGCAGTGTGGAGATTTCTGGGTTTCTTTACGTGTCTAACACCTAAATAGGGATCAATTTACCATAGAAAGTCCTCCCAAGGCTATATGTTGCGTTTCCTTATCCCATCGATCCAATCCAATTCATGCTAGATCCACTTGAGCCATAAATAGGAGCCAATTTACCATAGAAAGTCCTCTCCTAGGAGCTCCTCTCCTTGGAAGATCGTTCACGTGTTGCGTTTTCTTATCCCATCAATCCATTCCAGACCCTGTTTAATGGGCATAAGCCCGTGTTTTAGTTTAATTTTTTTTTTAATTTAAAGATCAATTACTCTATTTCATGAAAGTAATGGCCATTCAAAACGCCAAATGATATTTTCATTACGAATAAATCAAGTATATTAAACAATAATTTATTTATAAATTCACTTATATAAGACAATAGATTTCATACTTACGTTTTCAATTGATCTCTATCAAGTAATTCAAATAAATAACCCTTTATAACGTTAATATTGTTTAACATTTAGATTTAATCTATTTAAAATTTAAATAATTTCTTAAAGATTGATGGAATAAGGAACTCGACACATGGTCGATCTGTCAAGGGGGTGCCTCTCGAAAGAACTTTCTATAGGAAACTGACCTCTATCTAGGTGTTAGACACGAAAAGAAAACACGGAAAACTCCATGAGGACAGCCCATTGCTGAGGCACGAACCCACGACTATCAGTTTAGTAAAATTATGGGCACCTTTAACATCGATAAATCCAAAAAAATTCGGGGATTTTTTTTCTGTATGTATGGATGTTAGCGTGGAGGCACCCACTTTGAAACGTAATAACTCCTGTGTCTTTTGTCGAGATTTTCTGAAATTTTGCAGAGAGGTTTAGGTATTAAGATCATTGATGCTATTAAATTTTGGGGGTTAAAGGTCACGGGGTGGGAGATCGCGTCCTATCTCGTGTAGGGACGGACTTAACGAAGATTTTACTCGTTATTAGCATTTATAATTTTTTATAAAATTCGTCTCTGCCCTTAAAATTCATCGTTTTACCATTGTATAAGAATTAAAAAATATAAAATGTTTTAAAAATAAATCACCATAATAGATGGCGCCACACTAATTTAAAATTTTTGTTTTTGCCGGGAATGTTAAGCAACTGGTTTCTTGGATTTTTTTAATACGTAGAAAACATTTAAAATTATATTAAATAAATATAACTATTAATATTTACATATACAACTTTTATTTTTATTAAAGATAATTCATTTAAATTTTATAATGTTTTTTTTTTCAAATTTTAATAAATTTTTCAACTTTGAAATATAAAATAGAACAATTCGTCAAGAATGTTTCACAATGGAAATGTTTCCCTATAAATTAATTTATATCCATAGCTTTATGTAAGATTATCAAATACAATATAATATAATATTAAGACGATACCTGGATACACTGGTTAAGAAAGGGTATAGTCTATTTCGTGGTAATCATACGTAAAGAGTGTGGCCTACCTCTTTACGATTTGGCATTGATCTGTGCATAAATACTTTTATATTTCAAAAATTTTTATTTTTCTTATATTAATCTTGGGTTAAAGGGAAAGATTAGGTTAGGTTATTGTTGTTTTGTGGCGCAAGAGCCTCGTGGGCCATGCTGCACATGTTAAGGGAAGAATACCTCCCCTATAAGCATAGGCATAGNTAAATAATATTTATTTTAAAAATTTTAAATTAAAAAAAATAATAATAAATATTTCTTGTGTAAACTTTAAAACAAAGTTTAAACATTTGAATATGGCTTCATTTCTTCTAAGGAAATCTCTGTAATTTATACATTGTTTTCTATTATTTTGGCAATTAAAACATCAAAAAAACATAATTGCTCCGCATTTATTTATATTTTACGGCAAGCAACAAAATAAAAAATATTTTTTTCTTTTTTTTTAAGTAGGATTAAAGTTTTTTGCCACATTGCAAGATGATTCTTGCAGACTTCTTTGTGGCATACTTTGATGAATAATTGTCTATATACATCAATCATTTGACTCTTTTAAATATTCTGATAACATATTCTTCCTGTACCAATGGGCAGTGTTACAATATGTTTTAAATTAAATGGCAGTGCTGTTGAATTGAGCTTCCATCAATATGATTCCGCTCTTTTCTTAAGGACCTTTACTGTCCTGATTCTGAATGGCACTTAATAGATCTGCTCCCGGATAACTACACAGTTCACAATAACCGGGTGGACCCTGAGGTCCCGGTAAACCACGCGTTCCTGCAAGTCCTTGTCTTCCTGGTGGTCCTCGTTCACCTGGACGACCCGTAAATCCTATGCCCGGTGGTCCTGGTGGTCCTAATGATTTTAAATAGATTAGAAACGTAAGATATTTATTCGAAAATGAATTGATTTTAGTTGTATTACCTGGAAGACCTCTTAGACCCATTGGCCCTTCACTACCAATACCTTCCGGTCCTCTGTCGCCTCTTTCTCCTTTCTCTCCTATGAGTTAGATTTATATTACAAATTAATGCAATATAAACCTTATAATTTACTGTATTTTTTTTTTATTTACGAACCTTTAGGTCCTGGCATTCCTGGTGGGCCAGGTATTCCTGGCATGCCCATGAAACCTCTCTCGCCTGGTAGTCCTGCCGTTCCTGGATCACCTTTTCAATATAAAAAGATTTACTGTATCTAATGCTTAAATTATAAATAAAATAAGCTATATTATGTTAGTTATAAATAGAAATGTTTGTCATAATTCCAAAAAAATAGAAAATATTATTTCATAAAAATTCATGCTTTAATAATACAAAATATAGAGTAGGGTTTCAATTTATTTACTAGAATAATTTTTCAGTAAACAAGAAAGATTTTGCCATCAATTTTTTTCATAGAGTAATGGACCGCAATCCACACCAGTTGCAATAGAAAGACTTACAGAACTAGTTCGTGCAAGATGCAAGCATGCAAGAGAAGCTAGCTACCTGGGATGCCCACTTTTCCAGGTACACCCTGTCTGCCTGGCCTACCGTAGCCAGGTATGCCAGGTGGACCACGCAGCCCCCTGATTAAGTCGTCCATTCTGGCTGTTGGAAGGAAGAAAAGTGTTAGAGCTTGGAATCTGTAATACATGCAGAGGTTATGGCAGGCCACGCCATTTTGGGGCTGACCAATCAGACAAGCAATCAAAATTTATTGAGCTTATAAGAAAAAGATGGGTCAGTATAAAAAGGTGAGTCCATGCAAGTTTTAGTAAATGTTTATATTTACACGTATTTTATATTCTTATTCAGAGATTTTAATAATTATAAATATATTTTTTCATCAGTTTCATCAATATATTTATATTATATTGAATAAATATTAAGATGGCATTTTTTTTTTCTATAGATGGAACTGTTGATGAATATAATAATAATAGAAAATAGTAGAAAAATCAAAATTACGCAAAAAATAAGTCTATCGAACATAAATGATCCTTTGATAACGTTCAATATATCATTTAAATTAAAGTTTGCAGATAATTGGTTAAAATTAAATTACGTCATGAAGATTGACAGTTTTCCGTTTCCGATTCTTAATCGAATGCTATTACGAAATTTACATTCATCCAATCGTCGTTATGAAACGAATGTCTGTTTTATTTTAAATAAATTGCAAAGGACCGCCTATGTTGTCTAGAGTTTTCTTTGCTTCATTTTGCATTCTACCATCGCCTAAAATTGCTGCATTCATCGACAGTTCTTTCCTAAATATGTTATATTTTATTCTATTGCATATATTAAGAGCATAAATTATTTTAATAATTAAAATTAAATAAAAAGAGGCAAAGCATTAAAATATAGTTTAAGATTGAAAATTACACGCTGGTTTAAAAATTACTCGCTTACCTGTTCAAATGGTAAGAATATAACAGTATTTATTTATAGTTTTTTACATACCAGTTTGAAAATTATTGTTGAATTTAGTATTATACCGTATTTGGTAACATTTATCATTAAAAAGTCGAATACTGTTTATTAAAATAATCATTTCTATTATAGATAGTATTAAGCTCTTCCTTTGATGGATCGAGAGTTGTTTAGTTTATTATTTAGTAAAAATTTAGTTGTATCTTGTTAGCAACAGTGCATGTCTGGTGTCAACCCCAATACCTGGTGGGCCTTGAGGACCTGGTGGACCAGGTCGACCTGGTTTTCCTCTTCCTGGAGGTCCTGGTGGACCTCTCAGCTTCAATGATAATTCTGCTAATTGATCTAGAATAAGTTTAATCAATTTAAATCAGCAAAATTTAGAATAGATTTACTTATTATTATTATTTCTTTCTTTACATAATTAATTTACAACGTTAAATATATTCCATTTTTCTTTATGATTGGACTAATGATACATCTTACCTCTTAAAACAGAAGCACATATATCTCTCATTTCTTCTTCGTTAAAACTCCTTCCCTGAAATTTAATTATTTTAAACGATTAAGTATATATATATTTTTTTATTTTTCAGTTTATTTATTTATCTAAAACTTAATTAATTATGTACCGGAGGTCCTGGCAAACCTGGCATTCCTGGTTGTCCTCTATTACCGGGATTCCCCGCTATACCGGGAGCGCCTGGAGGTCCTGGTAATCCAGAAGCTCCTGGTAATCCCGGTGGCCCTCTTTCACCCATTGCACCTCTTTCACCTGGCTACGTATAGAATAATTCATTAATTTCTATTGTAAACTTATATAATTAATGACAAATGTAGCTGATTATACCAATCCAGGGGGTCCTGTTGCTCCTGTAATGCCCTGTAAGATATAAATTATTAATTGTTAGCAATCTCTAAATATAATTAACATTCTTTTAACTTCTTGTTATAATTTTTTATAATATTACATTAAGATTTCAATCTACCACTCTGGAGGAATCCGGGGTAGCAACCTCCAGGAATTTTTTATAGATCCTGGATACGTCTGGCCCCTCCCTCACCCATCTGACCATCTCCATGGTGGGCCTGGCCAAATCCACGATAGGTATGATTTTTAAAAAAGGGGCCTTCTTAGTACCCACAAGACAGAAACAGTAAAACAAATTTGCTGGTTGCCATTTCGCTTTTCAACATGACGATTTAATTTCACTAATTAATGGTTAATTATAATTTTTAAAATATTTTGTCAATTAAATGATTAATGAAGTACCGTTGGCTAAGGAATTAAAAGTAAAT